AAAGAGAGAGAGAGAATGCCTACCAAATCTAAACTGCTATCTCTCCTTCAACTCCAAGCCATACCAATAAATGAGACCTGGAACCCTTGCTACCAGGACATTAAGTGGCAGAAAAAAATTAGCTGAGTTTACTGTGTAAGATTCAATAAAGCTTGAAAAGCAGACAGATAGACTTAGAAATGATTGATGATTGATTGATTGATTAACTGACTGACTGATTGATTGATTTTTTTGAGGTAGGGTTTCTCTGTGTGGTCCTGACTGTCCTGGAATCTGCTTTGTAGACACAGCTGGCCTCAAACTCACAGAGATCTACCTGCCTCTGCCTCCCGCGTGCTGGGGTTATAGCTGTGCACCACTATACCTGGTGGTAATTTTTTTTTTTTTTTTAATGTGAACTTGCTGTGTAGTGGATGCTGGGAGTTCTGACCCTTCTGTTTTCACCTCCCCAATTCTGGGGTGATAGGCATGCTCACCTTGCCGGACTGTCCAGCCGAGGAACTTTGAACATATTACTTAGTCTCTCCGTGCCTCAGTTTCTTCATCTATAAAATAGGGGTGATCATAACAATGGCCACCTCCTAAAGTTGTTTTGAGGAGTAAGTGGTTACTTCATGGGAAACTCTAAAAACACTACTTGATTATAAAACTGTTAAATAAGTAAAAATTACTGGGGAAAGTGCACTCAAATATATATACGCTAAAATTTATTACTTATCTTTTTCCTCCCTTCAATAAGACCTCCCCTTCTCTCACTCCCCTTCTGTCTCTGTATCTCTGTGTGTGTGTCTGTGTATATGTGTGTGTGGTGTGTGTGTGTGTGTGTGTGTCTCCTACCCTAAAAGTCCTAACAGACCTGGTTAGAGAACAATTGCTTTATCTGATGAATGGGTTGTACTTTTGGGGGGGGAGGGGGAGAATTTCACTCTATCTATTTTCTTGTTGTCCTTTTTAAAGAGTATTTGAAAACATTTCTAAAAATTTATGTGAGTATGTGTATTCGTGCCTACAGATGTGCATGCGAGTGTGCGAGCGTATGTGAGTTTTCCTAGAGGCTAGAAGAAGGCATTTCAGGAGGTTGGGAGCCATCTGGCTTGAGTGCTGGGAATCAAACTCTGGTCCCCAGAGTTTGTAAGAGCAAGTGCTCTTACCTGATGACCCATCCCTCTAGGCCCTGGTTGCGTTTTGTTTTGTTTTGTTTTGTTTTGTTTTTGTTTTGTCTTGTTTTGTTTTACAGCCATGTTACAGCAATTGTCGGCCCACAGTCGATTTCTTTCTTTAGGGTGTCACGTAGCTCCAGGTCACCCTTGAACTCCCGTGTGGACCAAGCGTTACAGGTGTGGGCCAGCACGCCAAGCGGTAGCAGTCCCTTTGCACACCGTGGATTACCCAGTGGAAACCTCTCACAGAGATGAGCAAACCCTTTCTGTGAAAAAGCGAGAACCTGAACAGGAAATAGTTCCAGCTTTGCACCAGCTGGTCTCTGTGAGAAGCGCTCTTCCTGATGGTTGTACTATGACAGCAGATGGATGGCAAAGTGAATGGGTGTGCCTGTGCCTGTGTTCTGATTAAACCTCATTTATAGCGACTCATATGTCTACGATCTCAGCACTCAAGAGGCCGATGCAGGAGGATTTCTGGATTATAGCAGATGCCACACCAGCCATCTTTCAAAAAACAAAACAAACAGATAAATAGGTGAGACACACACACACACACACACACAGAGAGAGAGAGAGAGAGAGAGAGAGAGAGAGAGAGAGAGAAAGGAGAAATGAAGAAAACAAATTTCATTTACAAAAACAGTTGACCCCTGATACAGGTCACTGAATTCACAAACCCACATAACTGTACTCAGGCAAAGTGCACGAGGGGTCAGTGACCCCATGAAGACGGGGCATTGCCTACGGACAGAAGAGAGTTGCCAGCACTCACCCTGGCATGGACAGGTGCAAGGCTGACACCTGCCAGGGCGGACACTCAGCACCTCTTAGCCCTTCACTCATGGCATCTTCTACACAGGCTCCGTATAGAGGAAACTTTCTAATGAAGACTTAGAAATGCAAGGGACCAGAGAGCGCACGGCAGCCCCCTGTGTGATGTGTGAAAGCTGCACAAACGTCTCTTAGCCGTTAGAGTGTTCCTCCAAAATTGGTTATACACCCAGTGATGTTAGGAGTTAGGCCAGGGGTGGGCAGCTGGGGAGAGAAAAATAAAGTGCTCCAGAATCACGCGTGAGTCTCTCTGGGACCCCATGGAATTGAAGCCCGAAGCTAAAAGGATGGAATGGGCATCGCTTTACTGAGAGGCAGTGAGCTCCAGGACGCTGTTTTGTTTCCAGGATTGTGATCATCCCCTTCTAGCTATCACCTAGTTGTATCCCAATGTCACAGGGGGACTGCAGGGTAGAGCGGAACTAAATGGAGGGTAGCCGGGGAACCCAGGAGCAGGGGTGCCGTCCTGGACTGCACATCCCCGGTGGTTGCAGAGCGGAGTCCACCTCTATAGCTTTGGGTGTCTACACAGCACTCTTTCCCCACGGCGCCTGGTGATGCTAGAGGTGTGCAATGGACTAGGAACTCCATTCTGCTGAAACCCAGCAAGGCAGGCTTGCCTGAGCTTCTGAGCATCATGAAGGAAAAGTCCAACTCATTTTCTTTTTTCTAACCGTGACCTAAAATAAACTAGCAGCGACCATCAGGCATTGATTGCCCTCTGCTCTGCTCTTTCTCTCACTCCACGCTGTGGCTGCCACTGCAAAATACTGTAGACAGCAGACCCATGTGAAACTTGGTTTATGGAGCTAGAGGTTCTCGGTCAAGGTAGAGGTAGGCAGTGCTG